TATAGGATCATGATTCAATAATACAAGGTTCGATAAACTGACAGTTGTCTCTCTCGCACCGCTCCCTTAGCCGTGGCACCGTGTTGCTTCTTTGCAATGTTACTTGGAAAAAGTGTTGCTTTGCTCGCGGCAAATTTTTGTTGACTTTATTTCGCTTTTTGAAAGGTAATAATGTCAATTGACTTTATTTCGCACCAGTGTGCGAAATAGTGTCAATTGGCCTTATTTCCGTTGATATTGTTACCTATCACAAGGGATGTTAATTTTTTTGCTTTTTGCGATCCCGGGATTTTCGGGACATCGTGCATACAATCCCAGGATCCGGGGATTAGTCCCGGGACTTAGATATTCATTATTTTCCAACAACTTAACTTGAAAAAATTGCATCAATATAGTTTGGGAAGTTGTCCTACCATATATTAAATAATAAATACTCGGGTTTGAAACCTACTTTATTATTTAAGTTGAAAAATATTTCAGTAGTAACAAAACCAAAGACAGTAATTAAATTTATACGCATTTAACAATACTTTAGCGTGTATATATATTATAAAGTAACTTAAGGCATGTCGAAAAAACGTTCGATGCAAAAAAACTTAAGTCAACATATGTATTGTGTGGCTGAAAGAACCCTGTAGTCAAATGTACTAGTGGTAAACTACCTCACTAGCCAACTATCTTTTTTCCATGCAATCAACTGATATTTTTAACATGGCGATGTCCTACGAGAGGGCAATTGTCAGATTTTGGTCAGAAATATACCAGTATATTACTAGTTCACAATAGAGAGAAAAATACTAGTCCAACTATGGACCAAAACCACTACTTTGGAAGTAAAAAAATAAAATGAATTCATGAATATACAATAAAACACTGTTTGAGATTATACTAGAAAATACAACCCTAGCTTTAGTTGTTTCTTCTTCTTCTTAATTGGCGCTGTAACCGCCTAAGCGATTTTGGCCGAGTCCAAAACAGCACGCCAGTCATTTCTCTTCTGTGCTAACTGACGCCAATTGAAAATGCCAAGTGAAGCCAAGTCCTTCTCCACCTGGTCTTTCCAACGCAGAGGAGGCATTCCTCTTCCTCTGTTACCAGCATCGCGGCCCGCGTTGAATCTTTTCAGAGCAGGAGCGTTTCTGTCCATCCGAACGACATGGCCAAGCCAGCGGAGCCGCTGAATTTTAATTCGTTGCACTATGTCTATATCGTTGTAAAGCTCATACAGCTCATCGTTAAATCGTCTGCGATATTCGCCATCACCAACGCGTAAAGGTCCGTAAATCTTTCGCAGAATCTTTCTCTCGAAAACTCCAAGAGCCGCCTCATCAGATGCTTTCATTGTCCATGCTTCCGCGCCATACACCAGCACAGGCATGATGAGTGACTTATAGAGTGTGATCTTTGTACGACGAGAGAGGACTTTACTTCTCAATTGCCTACTCAGCCCAAAGTAGCACTTGTTGGCAAGAGTGATTCTCAGTTGGATTTCCCAAATAAACGAAGTCGGCTACTTTTTCAAACTTGTAACTGTCAACAGTGACGTGGGTGCCAAGACGCGTATGCTCTGACTGTTTGTGTGATGACAGGAGATACTTCGTTTTGTCCTCGTTCACCACCAGACCCATTCGCTTTGCTTCTCTATCCAATCCCGAGAAGGCAGAACAGACGTAGCCCTTGTTTTTACCGATAATTTCGATGTCGTCGGCATACGCCAGCAATTGTACGCTCTTATAAAGTAGCGTGCCTGAGCGGTTCAGTTCTGCGGCTCTTATTATCTTCTCCAACATAAGATTAAAGAAATCACACGAAAGGGAGTCCCCTTGTCTGAAACCTCGTTTGGTATCAAACGGCTCGGAGAGGTCCTTCCCTATTCTGACGGAGCTGGTGGTATTGCTCAACGTCATTTTACACAGCCGCATTAGTTTCGCGGGGCAACTTCTCTTCATGCTGTCGAAAGCGGCTTTGAAATCGACAAATAGATGGTGTGTGTCGATCCTATTCTCGCGGGTCTTTTCCAAGATTTGGCGTATTGTGAATACCTGATCTATGGTGGATTTTCCAGGCCTAAAGCCACAGTGATAAGGTCCAATCAGCTCGTTGACGGTGGGCTTCAGTCTTTCGCACAATACGCTCGATAAGACCTTGTAACCTATGCTTAGAAGGCTAATCCCGCGGTAGTTGGCGCGTATGGCGGGGTCGCCTTTCTTGTAGATTGGGCAAAGCACACTTAAATTCCAGTCGTCGGGCATGCGTTCATCTGACCATATTCTGCATACGAGCTGATGCATGCACCTAATCAGCTCCTCGCCGCCGTACTTGAATAGCTCGGCTGGCAGGCCGTCAGCTCCAGCAGCTTTGTTGTTTTTCAGCCGCGTAATCGCTATACGTACCTCGTGATAGTCAGGCGGTGGGACAGCTACTCCATCATCATCGACTGGGGACTCGGGTTCGTCTTCCTCACTACTTTCAGCGCTGCTACCATTCAGTAGGTTATAAAAGTGTTCCCTCCACAATTTAAGTATATTCTGGACATCGGTCACTAGGTCGCCATTGTTGTTCTTACAGGAGTTCGCCCCGGTCTTGAAACCTTCCGTAAGTCGCCTAACCCTCTGGTAGAATTTTCGGGCGTTCTTCCTGTCGGCCAGCATCTCAAGCTCTTCGCACTCACGTATTTCGGCCTCTCTCTTCTTATTGCGGCAAATACGTCTCGCTTCCTTCTTCACTTCCCTATAACGGTCCCACATGGCTCGCGTTGCGCCCGATCGCAGCGTGGCCCTGTAGGCGGCATCTTTTTTCTCTGCGGCTTCTTGACATTCCTCATCGTACCAGTTGTTTTTTCGGGCTCGCTGAAATCCAACTACTTCTTCGGCGGCGGTACTTAATGATCGGGAAATGTGGTTCCACTGCTCGCGTACGTCGGATTGTTGAAGAGTGCTCTCAGAGAGCAGGTGTGTAAGTTGAGTGGCGAATAAATTGGCCGTCTGTTGTGATTGCAGCTTTTCGACGTTAAGCTTTCCTTGCATTGTTGGGCGCACATTTTTTGCTGCACAGAGGCAGGTGCGTATCTTGGCTACAACAAGATAGTGGTCCGAGTCGATGTTTGGTCCTCGGAGTGTACGTACGTCCAAAACGCTTGAAACATGCCTTCCGTCTATCACAACATGATCGATTTGGTTTCTCGTTTTTCGATCTGGAGACAGCCATGTAGATTGGTGGATGTTCTTATGCTGGAACCTTGTACTACATATTACCATATTTCGGGCCCCGGCGAAGTCGATCAGCCTCAGTCCGTTATCGGACGTTTCGTCGTGGAGGCTGTATTTTCCGACAGTGGCGCCAAAGATCCCTTCCTTGCCCACCTTGGCATTAAAATCGCCAAGCACGATTTTGACATCGTGTCGGGGGCAGCGCTCATATGTACGTTCCAAGCGCTCATAGAAGAGATCCTTGGACGCCTCATTCTTCTCTCCCGTCGGGGCATGGGCGCAGATGAGCGAGATGTTGAAGAATCTAGCTTTGATGCGGATTGTGGCTAGACGTTCGTCCACCGGGGTGAACGCCAGTACTCGGCGACGGAGTCTCTCTCCTACCACGAATCCAACACCGCATTTGCGCTCCTTTACGTGGCAACTGTAGTAGACGTCGCAAGGCTTCACGCTTACTTTACCTTGCCCCGTCCGCATTTCTTGGATGGCGGTGATGTCAGCCTTTGTCTTCCTGAGGACATCAACCAGCCGGGCAGAGGCACCTTCCCCATTAAGGGTCCGGATATTCCAGGTGCATACCCTTAAATCATAGTCCTTTATACGTTTGCCGTGGTCGTCATCAGAAAAAGGGGGTCTCATCCGAGGCTGTTTCATTTCAATTAATCCTGTTTAATTACAAGTCGTGTTAATAAAATATTTTGTATCGTTAACCATAATAGTTGTGTCATTTAATATTCGTAACATAATTTGGTCCTTTTCGAACCGGATAAATGGATTCGTTAATACGTCAAAGAGCCTCGATTAAGGCTCAAATAACGCGCATTGAAATTTTTTGCAAAAGCCCGAGTGCACAACCGCTGATATTAAAGTTCGATATGCGAAAATTTACGACATTATTAAACAATTCGAGGTGGTTCAGACATCTATTGAGCAATCAGTCGCGGAAGATAAATTTGAACAAGAATTACACGCTCGCGATGAATTCGAAACAAACAGCCTCAAAATCAAAGCAAAAATGTTCGAAATGCTCGAGGAATCGGCAGCTGCTCTTAGCAATCCCTTTCACTTCGACGAATTCAGCAACGCAGCTATCGGAAACGCGCTAGAAAGTCTGGCGAATAGCCAAGATACCCTGCATAATATATTAGAAAAATTAGCAACATCAACGGCGCAACGAGATATAACCATAAATCGTACAGTCACAAAATCATTATTGCCGGAGCTAGCAATACCTAACTTCAGTGGAGCGTTTGAGGATTGGATCCGTTTTCGAGATTTATTTGCCGCGATCATAAAAGGTCGAAAAGATCTAGCGGGCATAGAGAAAATGGAATATCTCCAAGGTCGATTGAAAGGCGAAGCGTTATCGATCATTAAACACCTTCCACCAAGTGATGAAAATTTTGAGACAGCATGGACTTTATTGTGTGATCGCTACAACAAAACTTATCTCATTGTAGATGCTCACTTGCAAAAACTATTTGAGCAATCTCCTATGAAAACAGGCAGCCTCAGTGATCTAAAGCAATTTTACTTCACAACAAATGAAAAATACAACGCCCTGCATGTTTTAAAGCCGGTGCAGTCATGGTCGAGGCTACTGCTGTATCATTTATTGAAAAAGGTGGATAATGACTCCAAGCTTGCATGGTCAAGAGAAACGCGTAAAATAGAAGAACCAACTTTTCAACAGTTTCTAACATTTTTGAATGAGCGTATAAATGAAAAAGAGAAAATTGAAGATAGTACAAGAGCATCGCAAAAATCCTTAGCCCCGCATACTGGCCGTTTCAATTCCATCGTGTCTCAAGTGCAAACAAGGTCACTCTCTTTATCAATGCCCAGCATTCAAAGAACTGTCGGTGACATTGAGACATGACTTTGTACGGACAAACGGTATATGTCCAAACTGCCTGCGTACAAAGCATAGCTTGACCGAGTGCAAATTTTCAAATTGCAGGATGTGCAAGGGCAGACACAACACATTATTACATGAAAATAAATCACCGGTAAACACGATCTCCGTTTATTCTTGTACACGGCCGGTTGCAAATATTAGTATTCTACCAACAGCAATAATAATGGTAGAAGACAACCAAAATGTTCTACAGCCCTGTCGTGCGTTGTTAGACTCCGGTTCCCAATCAACGTTGATAAAAATTTCTATAAGCGGGATCGGTCAACCTACCAAATGCATGATGACTAGAGGCAAGGTCATGCTGAATATTTACGCGGCAAGCGATACTCGTATTTCAACTTCCACATATATCGTGCCAACACTTACAGGGGAAATGCCTCAAACTAAGTTGCCAAGTTCTAATACAACATTTTTCAGAAACCTCATCCTAGCGGATCGGCACTACGACCAACCTGGCCCCATTGAAGTATTGCTTGGTGTCGACGTAGTTTTTCAAGTATTTATCGATGGCCAAATAACACATCCATCACAGAAGCTAGTTGCCAAAAATACACTATTCGGCTGGGTTATAGCAGGAAAGACACCTACTATTGATTGTCCAACTGATATAAGTGTAATGCAAGCGTCTTTTGCTGACCTTGATAGCCTCGTGAGAAGCTTTTGGGAACAAGAAAGCCTTATTGATGGCAAGGTATCAAGGGAGAGTGCGGAAAGTCTTATCGAGGAGCACTTTCGTCAGCATTAGGCAGTGGTCCACGGGTATTGGGTGGGACGATCCGATACCGCAAGGTTTGCGTGCCAACTGGAATGCCTTTCGTAATGGCTCCGACGACCTCTCTGAAGTTTCCATATGCCAATGGATGCAGCTCGTAGAGGATTCCAAAGTAGAATTACATGTATTTGCTGACTCATCGAAATTGGATTATGATGCCGTGGTATATATGCGTGTTATAGACAATCAGGACAACATTCATATTTCACTCGTCGCAAGTAAAACCCGTATAGCTCCTTCTAAGGCCATGCTAAGTATTCCACGTTTAGAATTATGTGCGGCGCTTTTAGTCGCTCAATTAGTTGAAAGGGTAAGCCAGTCAATAGCTCTTTTTAATATAAAGTATTTCGGTTGGTCGGACTCTACGGCGGTACTTTATTGGATAAAAGGGTACCCTCGCCAAAGAAACGTATTTGTCGACAACCGTATTTCACAAATTGTAAGCTTACTTCCCGCCTCTTGTTGGAATTATATTCCCACTGCGCTCAATCCTGCCGACTATATAACGAGAGGAGTAAGTCCCAAGGATCTGCTGAAGCCTAAATTATGGTGGGGTGGTCCTGAGTTTTTGCAGCAATCGAAACTAAATACGTGGACGATTCCAAACAGTGCCAACCGTCACAACAGAAGATTTTTATGCAGAGTATTTGTCTAGATTCTCCAATTTCCATCGACTAATTCGGCGAGGCTAGATCAGTAGTTATACGACTTGCGCGGCATTCGATGTTTGAAGCAGACATTAAAAATCTGGAACGAGGACGTCCTCTTCACAAACGAAGTAGTAGTAGTAGGGTTGGATGCATTTCTCGACGAAAAGGGCATTGTTCGAATTAACGGCAGACTATCTGCAGCAAGGATTACCTACGATCAAGCGTACCCCCCGATTCTTCATTACGATCATCATTTTAGTAAGATACTAATTAGGTGGATACACATACGGAATATGCATTCTGGTCTTCGCCAAACGATTAATTTAGCCTCATTAACATATTACATAATCGGTTGCAGTAGAGGTGTACATCGATGCATATACAGCTGTCCCGTTTGTATGCGGTATAGAAGTCTAAGTTATGAGCAGCAGATGGGTCAATTGCCACCGTCGAGAGTTCAACCGAGTATGCCGTTCGCCGACACAAGTATAGATTACTGCGGTCCTATAACAATTCGGACATGGAAGGGACGCGGTGCTAAAATGCATAAGGCCTATATTGCGCTATTTGTTTGCATGTCAACGAAGGCTCTGCATCTCGAAGCAGTGACCGAATTGTCCACTGAAGCATTTATTGCCACACTACGGAGATTCGTGTCACGTCGAGGTGTCTGTCGCAACATTTTCAACGACAACGGCCTCAATTTTGTTGGTGCAAATGCATATCTACGGAGTATATCTAATTTACACAATACAGAAGATTATAGGCGAGCCGTTGTAAATGAGTCATCGACCCTTGGTATATCTTGGCATTTCTCGCCTCCTCATGCTCCTCATTTTGGGGGATTATGGGAGGCTGGCGTCAAAACTGTCAAATTCCATCTTCGTCGCGTGATGGGCGTAACTTCGTTAACCTTCGAAGAGCTCTCAACAGTATTGTGTCAAATAGAGGCCTGTGCGAATTCTCGGCCATTATGTCAACGATTTGAAGGCGATATGGACCCTTTAACACCGGCGCACTTCTTAATCATGCGTTCCATGAAATGTCTTCCGGATGAAGGCGAATCAGTATCGGCTCTAAACCGGTGGCGTTATATGCAAACACTCGTAAGGGGTTTTTGGCGCAAATGGTCTGATGATTATTTGACTCAATTACGCAAAAGGCCCAAATGGAAAAAGGTAATAACGAACCTTAAGGTTGGAGATGTAGTCATATTAAAGGACGCAAACCTACAGCCTGGCAAATGGAAATTGAGTCGCATTACTCAGCTTTATCCTGGAAATGACGGCTTAGTACGCGTGGTAGAGGTTAAAACTGCGAGTGGCACGTATCGCAGATCCATATCCAAGCTATGTCCATTGATGATAAACGACGCCTAGTTAAAGCTTCCAGCTTAAACCGGGGGAGTATGTTTGAGATGATACTAGAAAATACAACCCTAGCTTTAGTTGTTTGACATGTTAATTATCCTGTATTCCTTTTCTTATGAATTTTCGTTACCTTTGTTCTTGTCTTGTATAATAAAAATTTCTTTCAGTCACTTCGTTAAGTGAAATGTAAGAACCAACACGTGTATTTCAATTAATCCTGTTTAATTACAAGTCGTGTTAATAAAATATTTTGTATCGTTAACCATAATAGTTGTGTCATTTATTATTCGTAACAAACACTTTTGATTAAGTACACTTTCAATATATTACACATTTTTATTTAACAGCCTTAGATTTGCCAAATAAAATTAGTGTTAAATTTTTTGTGTATTAATTAAAAGCAATAATAAATACATAAATATTTATAAATTAAATGCATTTTTCATTAAGTGTTATTAAAAGTAAAAGGTTTCAGGTACAATAAATACTATTGGCCTTTTTCATAAAAAATAAAGGGCTTTATAAAAGGTTTATAAATTGAAAAATGTATGAAAACGTCAATTTATAGAGCTCTTTAAACTTACTTTATTTTTTATGAATAAGGCCATATATATTAATCTTTTTTAATAATATTGAATATGCAAAAGAAAACACTTTAGTTAAGCAAAAGTTAATACTTTAGTTAATGTTTGAGTGAACTAAAATAAAAATAATAGTTTTCGTTAAAATAAATTCAATTCATTAACGTTGCACATTTCAGTCTTTCCTTTTTAAAATTTTATAAAAATAATAATTAATGTTTAAATTTCAGATTTGGATAAGAATACAATAAATAAATTATTCAAGCAGTTATTAGACATTCTTAATTCTTATCTATAGTTTGCCTTGATGATTAATAATATAAATGAATCAAATAGTTATAATCGTGCAATTAAAACAAGTCAAAAATAATTGAAAATGATCAAAAATAACAAAATAATGATATGATTAAAATTAATGAATTAATTAACATTTTTTTAAGTAGTTAATTATTAACCATTAAAAAGGTGGTATATCGGCATTTAATCATTAAACGGTTATCCAAAAAACATGCTTTAATTAATACTCATTATGAATATTAATAATTATTTACTCGCATTAATGGTTTACAATGTACGCAAATAAAAGTTATAATATTTTATGTACTTTATTGTATTAAATTGTCAAATAAACTAGTCAAATAAAACGCGGCATGAATAAATCGTTTTGTACTTGGTACAAGTCTGGGCTCGAATCGTCACATACGATATCGTATTACTCGTCACGTAAAAACACAGTTATCCCATTCAGCTTATACGACTGACGATATCACGTAATTTGCTTTCGTATGGTTTTCGATCCGTGAACGGATGTTACGATTTGAGCCCTGGTCATTTTCGAACTAGTTCGGTTTCAGTCAGGAAATTCTAGTTGTAAACTAATAGTTTGGGGTTTCACTGCACGGAAATTCATAACACTAGTGGCAGAAATAAAAGAAGCGCCTTATTTTAATTTACCGAGTTTACCAAGATTAATATTTTTCAATGATATTCAAGCATCTGCCTACCTGGCTCATGACAGGGACGCCCCACCCGACGAACTGGAACAATTTATCGCCCAAAATCAGAGGGAACAAATTCTGATAGGATGCGACGCAAATGCGAGACACACTATCTGGGGGAGTTCCACGATAAACATCAGAGGTGAGTCTCTCTTACACTTTATATTAAATACCTGCCTGAGTATATGCAATAAAGTAGACAGTCCGACCTTTATATTTCCCAGCTCCGAAATATTTGCGGGATGGGAAGAGGTACTGGACTTAACCCTAGCAACAGATGGCATTGTCGTCGATGACTGGAGAGTATCCAGTGAAACATCGATGTCGGATCATTGTTGGATACTCTTCAGCATTTGCGGAAAGCCCACTACCTCTTCCCGAGAAGAACAATGTGGCCAAAATTTATCAGGCTAACGTCAGGTAACCTAGACAGTAGTAAATCAATGGAGATTACAACTGCTGTAGAACTAGACAACACAGTACATAAGCTGAAAAAAACTCTAGCCATAGCTTTTAAAAAATCCACACCAGAAAGCGTCCTTAAGAAAAAAATCCTCTCCATGGTGGACGGGGGAGCTTAGGGAGCACAGGTCAAATCTCAGAAAAATCTTTAACGAGAGCTACAAAACAAAACTGTGGTAGCCATACAAAGATGAATTAAGGCAGTACAAAAAATTAGTGAAGAAAAAATTAAGTTCGCTATAAATAAATTCTCCCCATACAAATCCCCTGGCCCAGATGGCATCATTCCGATAATGCTCCAAAAATTACTGGAGCCTATGGTATCCTTGCTGGAAAGGGTCTACAAAGCCAGTATCAGCATGACATACATTCCAAAAAGCTGGAAAAGAATCAAAGTTGTCTTCATTCCCAAACCGGGAAGAAGAAATCACGAAAAAGCAAAAGACTTCCGACTAATATTTAAGTCTTACATCTTTTGCTGCTAAAGGTACTGGAAAGACTTTTAGACCTACATATTAGGCTTTTTCTGGGAAATTCCAAACTTTCCAAAGCTCAACATGCATACATTAAGGGCAGGTCAACTGTAACTGCCCTTCATGAAGTCCCGGGCACCATAGAAAAATCACTCCATTACAAGCAGTACACTTTGGTGGCATTCCTCGACATAGAAGGGGCCTTCAATAACATAACAGTCGAAGCAATTCTACGATCTCTTGTGAAGGTGGGAATATCTGACCACATATGCGAGTGGATCGAACAAATGCTCAGAAACAGAATCATAATTTCAACCATTGGTTCAGTAACGCTGTCCCGTTATGCAAATAGAGGCACTCCGCAAGGGGGAGTTCTGTCTCCGCTACTATGGGTGGTGGTACTGAACGACATTCTACTGGATCTCAACAAAGGTGGAGTGAAAGTAGTAGCATATGCAGATGATGTAGTGGTGGCGGTATCAGGTCTCTTCCCCTCAACGATTAGTGAAATCCTAGAGGGAGCTTTGCTCCGGCTAAACACCTGGGCTACACAAAGTGGACTGGCTGTCAACCCTAGCAAGACAGAATTGATGCTGTTCACCAATAAAATAAAAATACCACAATTCAGGCTTCCTTCCCTTAATGGAAAGTCTCTCACATTGTCCTCCGAGACTAAATACTTCGGTGTCGTATTAGATAGCAAGCTGAGCTGGAAGACAAATATAGAGAGGAGGGTTGAGAGAGCCTACACAGCTTAGTATACATGAAAAAGAATATTCAGTAGGAACTGGGGATTGAAGCCAAAGCTTGTCCTCTGGATGTACACGGCTATCATACGACCAATACTAACGAATGCGGCGTTAGTTTGGTGGCCAGCACTAGATAAACAATACAATGTCAGGAAATTAGGCAGTATACAAAGAGCAGCTTGTGCAGGTGCTATAGGGGCAATTGAGTCGTGTCCATCTGATGCGCTTAATGTAATCCTGCATCAACTACCCATAGAACTCCATATCCGCGAAACTGCTGCGTCTGCGGCAGTCAGACTGAAAGAGTCAAGCTGCTGGAGGGCGCTGCAGCACGACCATAGTGGTATTCTTGACAAGCTTATCTAGTCAGGGAAACAATAAGATTATATACCTCCTACGACAGATTTCAGGAAAAGCTTTGAGGTGAAGTTTCCTTCAAGACGGGATTGGAGTAGGGGCAGGATAGTCGAGGAGAATTCCACTGAAATCTATACTGACGGGTCCAAAATGGACTGCGGTGTGGGTGCGGGGGTGTTCTCTGAAGCGCTGAATGTCTCTCTCTCTCGTTTCGACTACCTGACTTTGCTAGCATCTTCCAAGCGGAAGTACTGGGCATCGAAAGGGCCTGTAAGGCACTAGAGAGGAACTGCGTAGGTGTTCGAAAAGCATATATTTTTTCGGATAGCCAAGCGGCACTTCTGGCACTTGCCTCACCGCACAGTGGGAGAAATGGTCAATCTAGCGGCGCTTTCTTAATAG